TGGGGCACACATGCCGAGTGTGGGAGTTCAGTGCCTTTTTAATCCTCGTGTTCTGTAAAAATCTTTTTTTTTTTCTTTTTTCTTTTTCTTTTTTTTTTAATGAGAAAGCACTGACCCCCATCAGGGATAGACACGGCAGAACCCACTCTCCTTTTTTCCCTCCTATTGGGATTTTGGCAATGCACGCACACGCAGGCATGTTTCTCAGGCCCCCGGGCCCAGGGCTCAGACTGCACAGCCGGCCATGTGGGATCCAGCGGCCTGAACCACCACGCCACAGCTGCCCCCCCCAAATTTTTTCTTTTTAAATTATTCCAGGTATGTCTGTGGAGTGTTCCACTCACTCCTTTCCACCCCGCTCCCGTGACTAATGATATGCTGATAATTTTTTAGCATAACCAGGGAGCAAAACCAGTCAAGTCAATCAGGTGTTCCTGACGCAGAGGACAGACGGCTCGTTAGCGGCCGCAGCTAGTCCTGGCTAGCCTTACCCTCCCCTGCGTCTTTCTGGCTCTGCGGCAGGACCCTTTCCTCCTCTGTTCTTGTGACCAGAAAAGAGTCCAGCTTCAGTCCCAAAGTGATTTTTTTTTTTTTTTGGTAAAAGAACTATTTTATTTAACTTTATGTATTTATTTTATTTTGACCAGAGAAGGACAGAATGAAAGGGGGGAGAAGCAAGCCACCACGTCCAGGACTCAAACCACGGTCAACCATGTGGGAGTCCGGTGCCCTTAACCACCACGCCACCTCCAGCCCACAGAGTGAATTGTTAAACATGTTCAGTGCTACAAATTTCAGGACCAAGTGCTTTTGCTTATTGCTTCCTGGACTCAATCTCATACTTGTTCATTGCACACTTAATTGCAGAATTAACCAAAAAAAAAAAAAAGGCAAATTAGCAAAAACTAAAAAATGACTAACAAAAAAAACCCCACATTATATGGTAATACTTCATGCTAATAAAATAAATACTTACATTTTAAATTGACTCAAGGCTTCCATGGTTATCCCATTCTTAGGATTTTTCTTTTTTTTTTTAAGAATTATTTTGGAACCAGCAGTTGGTGTAATGGCTATGTCACTGGACTCCCATGTAGTTGACCACTGTTCTAGTCCTGCACCCAGTGGCTTAAACTCACCCCAGGCGCGTGTGCGTGCGTGCCCAAGATCCCGAGAGGAGAATGGAGGAGAAGGGATTGCGGCGTGACCATCCCCCCTGGGGGGTTTCTCACTTTCTGCCTCTCTGTCTCTGTCTGTCTTTCTGGTGAGCACATGTGTCCTATAGCTAAAACCTTTCCAAAAAATAAAAATAAAAATTATTTTATTGGGTCTGGCCGGTGGTGTGGTGGTTAAGGGCTCTGGATTCCCACATGGCCAACTGCAGTTTGAATCCTACATCTGTCAGCTTGCTTTCTCACTTTATCTCTCTCTCTCCCCCTCTGTGGTCAAGTTAAAAATTAATAAAGTGAGAGACCAGCGGATGGCATAATGGCTATGTCGCTGGACTCCCATGTAGTCAACCATGGTTCAAGTTCTGGGCCTGGTGGCTTAAACTCACGCCAGGCATGTGTGCGTGCGTGCCCAAGATCCCAAGAGAATGGAGGAGAAGAGATTGTGGTGTGGCGATAACCCCTGGAGGGGGGGTGATTTCTTGCTGTCTGTCTCTGTCTGTCTCTGTCTTTCTGGCAAGCACACACGCCCTACAGCAAAAAAAAAAAAAAAAAAAAAAAAAAAAAAAAAAAAAAAATAAGTATCATTTATTTATTGATCCTGAGCAAGAAAGAAAGGGACAGGCACCCCAACGGGGTCTTCACACCACGATCGGGCAGCCAGGATCCTGGGTACACATGGGGGACCTTGAGACACAAACCCAGAACCCTCCCCAGTGGCTTCAGCATCACGGAGCATCGCGTCACGCTGTGCCACTGCGACTGGCCAGAGACTTTTATTTTACTTCATTTTATTTTATGTTATTTTCCTTGTTTATTTAAAGTTTTTGCCGTAGGGATGTGCTCATTAGAGAGAGAGACGGAGAGAGGGCAAGTGGGAAATCACTAAGGGGATGGCCATGCAGTCCCTCCTCCGTGCAGCCTCCTTTGGGATTTGGGGCACACATGCCGAGTGTGGGAGTTCAGTGCCTTTTTAATCCTCGTGTTCTGTAAAAATCTTTTTTTTTTTCTTTTTTCTTTTTCTTTTTTTTTTAATGAGAAAGCACTGACCCCCATCAGGGATAGACACGGCAGAACCCACTCTCCTTTTTTCCCTCCTATTGGGATTTTGGCAATGCACGCACACGCAGGCATGTTTCTCAGGCCCCCGGGCCCAGGGCTCAGACTGCACAGCCGGCCATGTGGGATCCAGCGGCCTGAACCACCACGCCACAGCTGCCCCCCCCAAATTTTTTCTTTTTAAATTATTCCAGGTATGTCTGTGGAGTGTTCCACTCACTCCTTTCCACCCCGCTCCCGTGACTAATGATATGCTGATAATTTTTTAGCATAACCAGGGAGCAAAACCAGTCAAGTCAATCAGGTGTTCCTGACGCAGAGGACAGACGGCTCGTTAGCGGCCGCAGCTAGTCCTGGCTAGCCTTACCCTCCCCTGCGTCTTTCTGGCTCTGCGGCAGGACCCTTTCCTCCTCTGTTCTTGTGACCAGAAAAGAGTCCAGCTTCAGTCCCAAAGTGATTTTTTTTTTTTTTTGGTAAAAGAACTATTTTATTTAAATTTATGTATTTTATTTTGACCAGAGAAGGACAGAATGAAAGGGGGGAGAAGCAAGCCACCACGTCCAGGACTCAAACCACGGTCAACCATGTGGGAGTCCGGTGCCCTTAACCACCACGCCACCTCCAGCCCACAGAGTGAATTGTTAAACATGTTCAGTGCTACAAATTTCAGGACCAAGTGCTTTTGCTTATTGCTTCCTGGACTCAATCTCATACTTGTTCATTGCACACTTAATTGCAGAATTAACCAAAAAAAAAAAAAAGGCAAATTAGCAAAAACTAAAAAATGACTAACAAAAAAAACCCCACATTATATGGTAATACTTCATGCTAATAAAATAAATACTTACATTTTAAATTGACTCAAGGCTTCCATGGTTATCCCATTCTTAGGATTTTTCTTTTTTTTTTTAAGAATTATTTTGGAACCAGCAGTTGGTGTAATGGCTATGTCACTGGACTCCCATGTAGTTGACCACTGTTCTAGTCCTGCACCCAGTGGCTTAAACTCACCCCAGGCGCGTGTGCGTGCGTGCCCAAGATCCCGAGAGGAGAATGGAGGAGAAGGGATTGCGGCGTGACCATCCCCCCTGGGGGGTTTCTCACTTTCTGCCTCTCTGTCTCTGTCTGTCTTTCTGGTGAGCACATGTGTCCTATAGCTAAAACCTTTCCAAAAAATAAAAATAAAAATTATTTTATTGGGTCTGGCCGGTGGTGTGGTGGTTAAGGGCTCTGGATTCCCACATGGCCAACTGCAGTTTGAATCCTACATCTGTCAGCTTGCTTTCTCACTTTATCTCTCTCTCTCCCCCTCTGTGGTCAAGTTAAAAATTAATAAAGTTAGAGACCAGCGGATGGCATAATGGCTATGTCGCTGGACTCCCATGTAGTCAACCATGGTTCAAGTTCTGGGCCTGGTGGCTTAAACTCACGCCAGGCATGTGTGCGTGCGTGCCCAAGATCCCAAGAGAATGGAGGAGAAGAGATTGTGGTGTGGCGATAACCCCTGGAGGGGGGGTGATTTCTTGCTGTCTGTCTCTGTCTGTCTCTGTCTTTCTGGCAAGCACACACGCCCTACAGCAAAAAAAAAAAAAAAAAAGAATAAACTTAAATAAAACAATTCTTTCTTAGTGGCTATGTCACTGGACTCCCATGTAGTCAACTGCAGTTCAAGTCCCGGACCCGGTGGCTTAAGCTCATGCTGGGATGTGTGTATGTATACCCAAAATCCAGACTGGAGAATGGAAGAGAAGGGATACTGACATGAACTTCCCACAGGAGGGTGATTTCTCGCTTTCTGTCTTTCTGTCTCTCTCTGTCTTTCTGGCGAGCGTACACGCCCTATAGCAAAAACCTCTCAAAAAAATTATTTTACTAATATTCTTTTTTAAATTTGGTATAGGGCACACCCACTCACCAGAGAAAGAAAAGGAAAGTGAGAGAGTGAGCCTACAGTTCAGGACTCATGCTGCGGTTGGCCATGTGGGAGTCTAGTGGCTTAACCACCATGCCACCTGCTGGTCCCCGTAGGAATTTATCGTAAGGGACTAATTCGACAGACAGAAACTGGACAGAGATGCTCACCACAGAGTCCGCCGCATGAGGAAGTGAGCGAACTGTGCGCCCCGTCACTGTGGCCAGCAGCTCCCTCGGGCAGCATGCAGGCACGGGGACGGCGGCCGACTGACCCAGCCCGTGGCAGGGAGCCTGTGTGAAAGGGTGCAGTGCCTGGCCCGGGTTCGACACCCACCTCCTTGAAAGCTGGGTGTGTGTCTGTAGCCCTGCTACTCAGGAAGCTGAGGCAGAACGATCATGACGCAGTGAGAACTTGTCTAAAAAAGGAAGAGAGAGAGAGGAGGTTGTGTGTGTGTGTTTGTTTTTAGGTTTTTGCCGTAGGCACGCACACTCACCAGAGCAGGACAGAGAGAGGGAAGGAAATCACCCGCTGGGGGATGGCCACGCCTCAGTCCCTTCTCCTCTTGGAATTTTGGGCATGCACACACATGCACCCAGCATGATTTTCAAGCTGCCGGGTCTGGGACTCGAACTATGGTTAGCATTGTGGGAGTCTAGCACCTTAACCACCACACCACCTGCTGGGCCCCTTAAGGGGTTTTCTTTTAACTCATTGTATTTAATACCGTCTGTGCTGTGCGTGCTGACACCTCCGTGTGCAGGGGGGGCTTGCAGCCTGAATGTGCCTGACCTGGTTCTGAGAACCTTAGTGGGAGGGGTCTGTGGTGTCCCCGTGTGACCTGTGGCCCTCCCCTGCAGGAGCTCAGTGAGATGCTGTACACGGACCGGCCTGACTGGCAGAGCGTGATGCAGTACGTGGCCCGGATCTACAAGTACTTCGAGACGTAGGCCCGAGGGCCCGGAACTTGACCGCCACCCACCCGCCTGCCTGGGAGTGTCTTGGAAGCACCTGGTCACTCGCCGCTGACCTGCTCTGCACCTGCTGTTCGACAGCTCGATCCACTTGACCAACACACGGAAACGAGACAGAGCTGGGCTCCACCGTGCACCCACCTCAAATGCAGACGCTCTCTGGGGTGTACGTCGGGACGCCTCCCTCTCCCATGGAAACGGGGGGGCCTCCCGTCTTCCAGACCAAGGTCTCACGCCCAGGCTTATTTCCTGAGAACCCTGGTCCATGTCACCAATCACGTCATCTCCAGAGAGCCAGGACAGCACCTCCAAAAGAGTCTTTTTTTTTTTTTAACTAAAAATTCCTGGATTTTGCCTTTAAAAGAAAAAAAAATAATAACTTTGCCCTGGACACTGCCCCACCTCCTTAAAAGCCAAACGGAACAAGGAAAAATGGAAAAGTCTGCTCTAGAATGACGGGACACCGTGGCCCTGCCTTCTGGGGAAAAGCGTTGGAGGTTGAGGGAACGATTTAACAGCAGAGCTTGCCTCCACGTTTTAGATCTCACCATCCCTTATTTAATTATTTGGATTAAAAGCAAAGCCTGTGAGAATGCAGGCGAGCCCCTGGGCGCTGTGCTGAAGGTCTGTGGGGTGTCCCCCAGGGCAGTGAGTGCCCGCACCCGGCAGAGCTCCCCTGGGTGGGCGGCACGGGCTGGGAGCGACCTGCAGTGTGCGCACACCTGTTCCACCATGCACGTGGGTCCCACACGTAGAACTCGGCAGGTCGCGAGGAATGACCCGTCCTGCGTCCTCGCCTATGGACGAATGGGCGTGTGTGTCTCTGTGGGCAGACGGCGATTCTGGACGGGACAGCTCCGCACTGCCTCGGGCTCCGGGGCCCTGTTAGCCCTCGGGCACGTGCAGGGCGGGATGCCCTTCTGGTGGCCGGTGCTGGCTCCACCTCGAATTGAACAGAGAGGAATGCAGTTTCCTCTCATGTCCTCCCCGTCACTCTCAGTGGCCGCAGAGCCTACCCCGAAGCTGCCTGGCACCTCGGGATGCTCAACCCAGCCCAGAAAACCGTCTGGGGGCTCCTCAGTGTCCTTGGGCAGGTAGACGCACCCGTGGCCAGCAAGCTCACAGCTCTCACGCCCCTCACAGCCACGTGAGTCATAAATGCCCTTCCCTTGCTGTTGCAGGTGTCAGGTAGCTCTGTGTCCCCGGTCCTCTGACTAAGGACTTCTCAGCAGCTTGTCCCTGAGAACCACAGTGACTGCTGCTGCCGTTTAAAGGGAACCTCTGATTGCTGATCTGAGCCACTGAGGTCCAGCCCCCGTCCTGGGAGAGGCATGAGCTCTGCAGAGGTGGCCGCGGGGCTCTGCTCCCCAGCTGCCTGGTGACGGGCGATGTGGCCTTCAGGCCCTGGGTGTGGCTCTGTCACTGTCTCTGTCTCCCAGGAGTGGTCTGAAAACACTTTTGGTGGGCTGGGGTCTGGTGACTCAGTGCCTGGAAGGGGACCAGGGACGCATTCTGTACATTTTCCAAGTTTTCCAGGGGACTTGCATCCACAGCAGTGCAGAGAACCACAGAGGGGAGAGAGAGCTCCTGTGGGAGGCCCCGGGCGGTGTAGCCCACTGTTTGGGGACGATCGTGACCTCGCTGGCCCCTTTTCAAATGGAAGCACAAGGCCAGTGGGACAAACTTAACTTCTCTTTCCTGACCCTACCCAGACGAAAGCCGTCCCGGGCGCTTTCACCGCCTGTCCTTTGTCACCTCCACCGTGCATTCCCACCCTCTCCATGCCCTCGCCTCGCCCCGCCACCGAAGGAGGAAAGTGTATGCCAAGTAGCTGGGTTCGGCTGCCATTGTCCCCCCCGGGATTCCTCCAGGGTTGAGCGTGGTGGTGGCAGGCGGTCTTGGGAGGGCCGAGGAGGGGTTGGTGTTGATTGGCTCTCCGATGGCAAGGGATGAGAATAGAAAGAGCTTGGGCCGAGGGGTCTTGGCGCCCGGTGCTGCTGGTGCCCTCCCTCACTCCCGGCAACACCAGCGCCTCTCCAGTGGGGCCCACGACGCCCACCCCTTCACCCAGGCTCATCTGTTCTTGCCTGTATCCTGGTCCCTTTAGGTTCAAAGAAAGCAGCAAATGAAAGCCGGCTCACGTGCGACTTCTTTTGCGACCCCCAGGAGGCCCCCGCTGGCGTCTGCCCGTGAGTGGTGCAGATCGGGGTGGTGTCCTGGCCATGGAAACATGGGGTGTCTGCGGCGTGATGGCCCTGCTGCTGTCCTGGGGTCTTGATGGCCTTGGGGGTGCAGGGACAGGCCCTGTCAGTGGCCAGCAAAGCTAGCAGCTCCGGGAAGTGCAGTCCTGGGAAAAGCCGCCCCTCCAGGCAGGCCAAAGGGCAGGGCTCGGAGGTGCAATTTTAAGAGCTCAGCCAGGGTGAGTGTGGAAATCTACCCGGAGCAAACAGGGCGGGGCCGTGTGCCTTCCCTCCTGCCCAGCCGGCCGCGCCCGCAACGGCCGAGTCTCTGCCCGTCTTCCCGCAGCCAGGACTTAGTCATCCACGGTTCCTGGTGGTTTTGCAGAGCCTTTTTCTTTACTATATAATGTGTATAAAACAGCCGCCAACGGCAGGGCCCAGAAGAGTGCAGGGGTGTTCACGATGTCCAGAACTCCTCGGTCCTCCGCCTGGGAGTCGTTTCGCAGGTGGCCTCCTGGGTGCGCGGGTGCTTGGCCCCTGTCTGCGGGACGGTGTTCTGAGGGACTTTCCTCCTCGGCCCACCCCGTCTCAGAAATGATGCGGGGCTTTTGTTTTCGCTCTCCATTCGGTTCCTCTACAGCTTTGGTAGAGACCAGCGAGGTCGAGGGGAGAGAGAAACACACGTCCCAGAGCCCTGAGCCATCTGCCGCGTCCCTTCCCTCCCGCCACCACATCCCGGGGCGCTCTGACCTCTCCCTCCTGCTTCCTCGGAGGGGCGGGCGGGCCGCTCAGTGGCCTGCAGAGGTGGAGTCTGGGCCAAGGGAGACCGACACTGGCCCACCCGCTGATCCGGCAGTTCTGCCCCAAGGTCAGCGTGCCATTTGAGATGACCTACCAACGACGACATGCAGGAAAGGACAGACGCTTGCAGCCTCTCCGAAAGCATATGGAAGATCTGCATCCGCCCGGCTTTGAGCCGCTCACCCCGGGGAGCTCACCGAGTTTAACGACGGCCCCTGAACGCAGGTGCATGGCCGCGGCCTCGGCCCCACAGCGCGCTAGACCGCGCCGAGCGCTGTCAGCCTGGACACGCGGACAGGCGTGTGACCCCGAGCAGGGAAGGGTATGACGTGTGACTGGAGTATTTCTAATAAATATATTTTCTTTCTCTCTGATGCTGACGTTTTCTTCCAGTGACTTTTGCTGTTAGTCTTTTTTCAACAATGCTTGCAGCGAATCTTTTTCTTTGTTTAGCTTTGGTTTGGTTTCATCAGGGCATGTGTACTCTGGCGAGGAGACAGACAGATGGACAAAACGAAAGTGAGAAATCAGCCCGTGGGGGAGATGGCATGCGGCACCCCTTCTCCCTTCTCTCGGGATTTTGGGCACACATGTGCCAGGTGTGATTTTCAAGCCACTGGGTCCGGGACTCAAACTGTGGTCAGCCATGTGGGCGTCCCGCACTTTAACCGCCACGCCACCTACTGGCCCCTTGAGTCTGTTTTCAAATAAGTGTCTTTATGCACCTGGTCCTTGTCGGGTCACTGTCCCCACTCCAGAGACCAGTGGCCTGTCCCCTGGCCGGCAGAGTGAGCATTCACCAACCCAGGCCACAGGGGAGCAGAGAGGAGGCCCCGCCCTAGGACCCTGGGCCTCCTCCCAGGGAAGCTGCGCCCTCCAGCAGCCTTTTCTGCCCAGGCTCTGCCTCTTCTCTCAGACCAGCACTGTCTCTGCTGAGGGCTTGGGAGGCGCCCCACCAGGAGCGCAGCCACCGCTCGCTCCCCTCTCAGGGGGTCAGGTGACAGGAGAAGCTGTGTCCAGATCACAGGCCTCGTCCACACGGCCTCTGCTAGCCTGCAGCCGCCCTCAGCTCCTCAGCCGTGCACACAACGGGTGGTCTACGCTCAGTGGCGCCTGGTGTCTCGGAACTTGTGAGCGGTCTCCCGTATTTGCCGTTGTTTGGGGCCCACCCGGGAGGCTGTGTCCTCTGAGCCTGGGCCTCTAGGTGAATTACCTGTGGACGGTCCGTGACTGCGTTGTCTCAGCACACATGCTCTAAAAGTCAGTGTACCAGGGCCAGCAAGTGGCATGGTGGTTAAGGCACTGGACTCCCACATGGTCAACCGTGGTTCAAGTCCTGGACCCAGTGGCTTGAAAACTGTACCAGGCATGTGTGTGTACGCCCAAAATCTCGAGAGGAGAATAGAGAAGGGACTGCCGCATGGCCACCACCCCACCCCCACCTCACCCCCGTGGAGGTGATTTCTTACTTTTCTTCTCACTGGCTCACGCACATGCCCCGCAGCAAATACCCTAAAAAAGGCTGGTGTACCTTGGGACTAGGTGACAGCCCCGTGGTAATGCAATGGGCTCCCATGGGAAAGGCCCTGGGTTTGTGTCCCAGGACCCCCAGCCCTGCAGGCATGTGTGACCACAGTCCAGGCCAGCTGAGGCTGCCAGCGAGCACACCTGAGGACCCTGTTACCATCTCTCTCATTCTCTCAATGGAGGAAATGAATTTTTTAAAATAGCCATACCAGGGTGGCAAGTTGCATGCTGGTAAAGATGCTGGACTCCCACATGGGCGACTGCAGTTCAAGTCCCGGATCTGGCCACTTGCTTTCTCACTTTCCTATTCTTTCTCTGTCTCTCTCTGGTCAAATTAATAAATTAATAATAACAAGTAAAATAAGTAGACATACCTGGGTGAAGCAGCCACCGGTAGCACTGAGCCCGGGACATTGTCCTTAGCCTCTCTGAGCTCGGGTCCCTTGGATGGCAGTGGAGGGGAATCTCCCACCCGCAAACAGCTGTGTTCATCGGGCAGGTGAGAGGCCCAGGGGCAGCCGTGCAGTGTGCCCTTTGGCCCCCGCTGCTGCAGCAAGCAGTGGTCTCAGCCTGGAAGGATGGCCCCCAGGGCTCCCCGTTTCCCGGTGAGATGGTTGGATACTTAGACTGCGCCAAGTCCTCCTTCGCTCTGGCTGGCAGGGTCATGTGCTCACAGGGCCGCACCCAGTGCGTAACAGCTGCTCAATAAATCATTTCGATCCATCGGCGGAAACACCCAGCTACCACTCACTCTCATCTGACTTGGACTTCATCGAACTCCAGGGAACAGATGCCTCAGCCTCCAGCCTGGAGTCAGGGCTGAGGTCAGTCTTGTGAACAATTCTTTCCAGCACTTTCCAGCCGGACGTTAAAGATCCCAGAACTGCAAATGGAAAAGACCCTTGGGGAGAAATCTGAAACCTGACCGCCTGAAGACCGCAGCCATTTCTCCTCTCTTTGCTAACTTTACTTCTGCTATCATGAATGAAATTACACATTTCTTTAAGAGAGGTTTTTGCTATAGGGGCACATATGCCCACCATAGAGAGAGACAGAGAGCAAGAAATCAACCCCTGGAGGGGGGGTGCCACACCACAATCTCTTCTCCATTCTCCTCTTGGAATCTTGGGCACACACAGACATGCACCCGGTATGAGTTTTTTGTTTTGGGTTGTTTTTTTTTTTGTTTTTTTTTTTTTTGGGTTTTTGCTATAGGGTGCCTGTGCT